ATCTAATCGGACTACATCTCCTTCTGACACATCAGGAAGCAGCAAGACCAGTAGCACTCCCTGCAGCAATGCTAAAAACCTTTGGCTACTTCTCACATTTTGAGGAGGTGACACAATCTGTGTTAGTATCACATGGGACTTCTGCAACAACAGGGAGGAAAGGGACTATAGTATGGGCTGAATACACCTCCCAGCTTTTATTCACTCTGCAACACACAGTAAAGAAGCAGCAGCTTTTTGCCAAGAAAGCTGGACACAAGAAACAGGTCCATAAGCAAGTTTTGGCCACAGCACTGCACAACAGGACTGGACACAGTTTAAATATATAAAATCTCTGACTCGGCACACACAAACTGACCTTTATCTCTCCCTGACAACCTAAGAAAAAAATACAAAAACTTTTTTATGTGATTCCTAGCTAAACTGCTGTCTAAATGGGCCTTGGGAGAAACATCACAAAGTTTATGCCTTCCTTCATCTTCTTCGCAGGTATAATGAGGATCCAGCAGCCAAGTCACTTGGGAGACATCTTTTTGGTAACTGAAGCAATCTCTGCTTTCTCCTTGACTTTCCCCTTGACTTTTCTTGGTGACATGAACTCCTGCACTTTTACCAGCAGCTGATCCAAAAGAGGCATAAGTCCCACCGTTACACAGAAGTATTGGTTAATAGCTAGCCTTAGCTAGCACAACTGAAAGGTGTGAGCTTCCTCTCCACATAATGAATTATAAAGGGCTAATAATCTTAAGATTTTTCCTAGGCTTTCTTTAAGAGACTTGCCAGTGGTTAAAAGTATTCAAATAACTTATCAGTAGCTCACTATTCAAGATTCATGACTTCATCAAACTGTCAAAATGTAGACAAAATTCAGTAAAATTAGGTAAAATATGTTCCAGAAACCCCATCAAATTTCTTCATTAGTGGTGACTGGCCTCAACATATAGCCCAGCCTCATGAGAATTTTCTCCCCAGTTATTTTTAACTCAAAAGAATAATCTTTCAAAATCCAAGCCAAAACACGAACTCTGCAATTAACTATAAGACTTCCAGTATTCTGGCAATCTTTCCTAGTCCATACAGGCCCATGTATACAACCAGCTGTGAGGAAGGTATTTGTTCTAAATCCATACCTAGTTCAAGGGTGACTTTTTTTGTGAATAATGGAAAAATTACTTAACTTCTTTGGCCCCTGACATTTCATTCTACTTCTCTGATAAACTGCCGGAGATCAAGGAGTATAGACTGCTGATTTTACTAAGTGTCTGATAACCAGGATACAAGAGACCTACTCAGTAGAATGTGGGTGTCTCCTGGCCTACAGAGGAGAAAATTTCTGGACAATTAATTGCAAAATGTCCTTGCAAGAGGGGAATCTAGCACAATAGATTTATTCAATCTTCTTTTAAAATATAACTAGCAGGGTTCATATAGCTCATTTAGTTCTGTGATCACTTGCCTATCAAGACAGGATAAGCCAATCCAACACAAGTATCCAAGAAGTCTATTGAACCTGACCTGAGCCAGGGAATTAACTAGGGAAATAAAAAAAGTTGCTGAAAACTCTTCTCTACAAAGTTCCCAACACTAACGCATGAAGAAAGTACACACACATCTACAGCAAAAATCCACACAGGAGACACCTGCAGTAAAACTTAATAAAATGTCAAAGCTAAGTTTTATCTTGTCTGTAACTGCATAGCATTTACAGTAGGAACATGTTAGCTGAGAAAACAGAAAAATGTAGCACAAACTGGGAGTAGCAGTGACAAGACCAAGGAAGGTAGCTGTCACCAAGACTCCATTTATTCCACTATTCAAAAGGCCCTAACTTCTACAATACACACTTTTCACTTTTCACTACAATACACACTTCTCTACACGACAGCAAAAAGTCAGACAGCAAAAATATTGAACTGGTTAGCTGGTCAGTTTTTGAATACTACCAGGTCATTGTGGAAGGGGCCATAATGCACCTGACAGAATCTCTGAATAAAAAGGAAAAGTTACTACTGATAATATTGACTATTCGTGGCCCCTAAACACCCAGCTATCATTATTCCACTCAGGTGCCGAGGACACATAGAGCCAGGTGCTGAAACTTCATCTTTCCAGATTCCAAGCTGCCATGTGTAGTCCCAGCTCTCCCACGTTGACTCACAAAGAATGAACTCAAGGACAAAAACCTCAGAGAAAGTTGTGTTATGGGTATCCCCAGTATAGGCTGTTACACCAAAAGGAATCCCAGGATGGTCTACAGCTGGGGTCATGAGGAATTCCCCTGTCAATGCTGTAAGATGGATGTTTGTTTTCATAACCCTCCTCTGCAATCCTACTCAGTCATTCTCACACACCATTCCTTGAACATCCTTGAAGTGATACACGTTTGCCAAGGACCTGAAACACTCTAGTCCAACTTCTAGCTCTCAGATACCTTCACTAGTCATGCTGGCCAAGATCCACCACAGCACCTCTAATAAGCCAGAAACACCCTTGCATTTAGACAAGGGCAAAAAAAGGGCATGTTCTTTCCTTGAGACGATTCCCTGTGAGGTGAAGGCAGTAGAGAAACGTAGTGGCAGCTCAGTCACAGAGATGATAAAATGTCAGGCTCCTGGCAGCACAAAATGGCAGCTGAACCCTGGCAAAATGCCAAACTGTTCAAACAGTGAGTTGAGTACACAGGACCATAATTATAATTAGCATAATAAGAGAGTGGTACAACAGCTACCTAGTTATTCTGAAGGGTCATGGAGAAATCACAACAAAGCAAAGTTTTAAGGAGAGACACAAAAGAAAACAATGACATAGCTGCTTGGTGGGTTTTTCCCGGAGGTTCTTCCATGCGTGAAGTGCAGCCTGGGAGAAAGTACAAAGACTGTTTAAGAGATCAGGCTCTGAATCAAGAGCAGCCGGCCGTGCCTGCAGAACCTGAACGGCTCCACAACATATAAAAGATCATATGAAAAGTGTGACACTGAAGACAAAAGGACCTTACAAGAAAAATAGGCTGTTAGTGTAAATTTAAATAAAATCTGGGCTCAATAGAGTCAGTCAAGATTTTTTTCTTTCTAACCATTTTCTCTTTCCCTCAAGTGAAGCAGAAGAGATAAAAATACGAGGAAAATTGAACAAATAAAATCTAAACACTCATATTTTGCATTTTTTCATTTTGAATGTCATGTAAACAATATTTACAGATCGACTGCATCATGCAATTAGCCCAGCTGTCTGTGTGAAATTAATCAGTTTTAATAAAAGTATTAAATATTGAGTTGTAGACTTAAAGATACATGCATATGGAAATCTCTAGATTCACTGTACTTTGTGCATCTGGAGGAATTTATAGACAGAGCTGAAGTTTAAAATCAAAAGTTCTCTTTGTGAATAGAAAGATCAGAGTTTTCATTGAGATCTGAATTCCACAGAAGACACTGAGAATCTGTGTATAAAAACACTCCACTCTTACCTAGCAGGCACAATCTGGTCCTCCAAAGAACAGAAAGTTTACTGTTTACACTTTTGGTACCTGCATTTTTCTCTATGCTGCTTCTGTTTCTCCTATTTACTTTTACCATTACCAGACATCAAGAACCCCTGCGTACACAAAAAATGCTTTTCCCAAGGCAAAGTCAACTCGCTATCATACAAGACAACCATATGCTGAATCCTGAGTGTCATACATCAAGACAACACAAGTTAAATGCTAATACTGCCATTAGGATTCTCCATTGCATTTGTTATCATATGGTATCAGACAGAACATCGACTGGAGATGTGCCTTTAGGATTTTAGAGGCAAACACAGTCATACTGGTAAAAACCCCCTATCCATGTATTTTTCCCTTGCTTTCAAACATCATTTTTATCTTGTCTAAAATCCATAAAGTTATGGGTTTCTTCTATCTTTGGAGAGGGGGGAGGGGTGGGGGAAAAGCAACCAACAAAAGACAACCCTGTTTAACTGTCTTCTTTCTAAGCACCACTCTCTACAGTGACAGGAATGAAATGCGACTTTAGAATGTAATAAACTTATGGCTTCCTACCACAGGCATCCCCATAAGGAAGATCATATTCTTTTTCTCAGACACCAAATTATTTCTACTGTCATAAATCCTTTCTGACAGCAGTATCTGACAAACATGATTTTAAATTATGCTTTTTCTACCTTAATCACAGCTTTGCTATGTACACCAACAGACTTCAACATGCACTGGTGCAAACTAAGCTCAGGGGCATATACCTAAGGCAGACATCTTAATTCTCATTTGCAGTGCTCATTGTAAACCATCATAACACCTAACTGAAACAAATTTATCCTGTGAAAGTTAGTCAGTAACATATTTCAGAACACAAATTTAGAAACGCACACACTGATTTTCCAAATTAAGAAGACAGTTGCTTATTAAACTTTTCATCTTCTTGTTAATAAAACCTGAATTTTATATCACTTTGGAACATCCATTTATTCCCAAGAACAGGTATGTATCTAAAGCAACATACTCATGGAGAAAAAAAGAGAATCACCATCTCTCTTGCCCAGTCATTTTGCATAGGTGTCTATATGCACAGTAGCAAGAGGGGAAAAAGAACACACTGCTGTTAAATACAAGTAGGACAGAAGAAGCAAGAGAACACACTCTACTTGCCTTTCAAATGCAAATTTCAAAATGCTGACTTCTAGTGTTTCTTAGTTCTGGATTTTGCAACTGTTTACAGTTAAATGCATTGCAATCACAGAATGTATGTCAGCAAGCAGCAGAAAGCAAGATCTTTGCTTTTTAGAAATTATACTTTGATAGTCATGAAAAAAAATTCACAACTGATTGTTCTGTATTAAATATCTAACTGTAATGAAGGGACAAATCCCGAAGTTTTTGTAATCCATAGCTCACCCATTCAGTAACTCAGAAAAAGAAATAACATAAATTAATCAATTATCAGATTGAAATGTTCAAACTAGTAAGCCTGATTAGCTCATTTAAACAAACATAAGTCACTTACAGAACTGGATGAACAATCAGCTCTGGACTATATGATTTGATTACTGTTGCTGCATCTTTGGTACAAAACACATGGGATAAATCTGCACCCTAAAAAAGAAGATTTGCAAACAGTATTATCAAATTTATACTTAATAATAACTTTACCATTCCAAAGTTTACTCAACAAATAATTCATCTGAGTTCTTACTTCTCAATAGTTAAAGCAAACTTTATTATTTTTTCTATTTTGGCTTAAGACTATCATGAAATATTCTGGAGAATTTTTTTTTTTTGTATCTAACTTCCAATATAACTTTTTTCTGTTTCTCACTGATAGGATGACTGGAGACATAAATCTTGAAATTTTACTCACTTGAGAAATGTTTCTCATTTGCAGATGAACAACAACTAAAATGTCACATGTACATTAAGAAGAAAGGCAAAAGAATACAAATGAACATGAGACAAGCTACATTAGAGAGCCATAATACTACTGTAACATACTTGGAAAATATAGCTATGCAATATGGGCATATTTCCAGTCCTACCATTTTCATTCAATGGGCCAAATCCATACAAGATAAAAGGCGGGCACAATTTCAACAACACTCCCTTAAGTTAAAAAGTTAAAAAAACATTAAAGCTTAATTAAGAATTGAGTCTCAAGCTTCTGTTATTAACTCAAAAAATCAGAAATACACACAAAAATTATGTAAGCGGTGACCAGAAAACCTGATCGCATATGTTGTGCATACTGAAATTTCCAAGGCTAAGGAAGTGTCTTCTCTGCTTTACTACTACATATTTAACATAAGGGGCCCCTGGTGGTCTAGTGGTTAGGGTGCAGGACTCTCACCGCTGCGACCCGGGTTCGA